ATGCAAAAAAACAAATAAAAAAGCTAATTTTGGACAACCTTTGTGACTAAGTGTCTATTACAAAAGACTGGACATACCCCATTTTGAATACCCTGGGTTGTCTACATTTGAAAATGGTATTCCATGATGGGGTTAATGCACATTCCTGGGCTATCATACTCACACTTTCCTGGAGCTTCAATACAGCTCCAGTGTATGCGCCTGGGCGGAATAATCCCCGCCTATGGATCAAGTGCAGAGGTAACTCTTTGAATTGTAGGTGTGGTAGGGGGTATTCTCATAAAAAATAAACAAATAAAAATCGTATATGGTGAAGTATGTAGAGCTATGGTGCAAAGGTAGGTAAAAACTATAAAATGTACACTGACATGTAAAGGAGCCGTAAAAATTTTTTTTTTAATATTAAAGTACTTTTTAAATTGGACCTAACTTTGCTGCCGTTGGATTGTTTGGAGCTATATTCCTGGTGGGGATCATACCACTCAAGCGCTTTGGATTGAGCAAACCGGAACTTGCTCTTTAGCTTGTGAGTAGGTTTAACTTATTTATTTCTGCTTATACTCCTTTTTACTGTGTACACTATTGTGGTTCTGTTTGCTTATCTCCACATATACACGGGCAGAAGAATTTATATTTACACCTGTATCCTTGACTGGGGATCTTGCCACTTGAAGCGCTATCAGAGGAGCCAGGTTTTACGGCTCCATTACATGTGAGTGTACATTTTATAGTTTTTACCTACCCTTGCTCCATAGCTCTACATACTTCACCATATACAATTTTTATTTGTTTATTTTTTATGAGGATAGCCCCTACCACACCTATAATTCGAAGAATTACCTCTGCACTTGATCCATAGGCGGGGATTATTCCGCCCAGGCGTATACACTGGAGCTGTATTGAAGCTCCAGGAAAGTGTGAGTTCACATCTTTTATTTTACCTATCACCACTACAGTTTTAAATACTACACTATTATTTCTTCTCTGGTTCTCTCCACATATACCTTGTCAAGGATTACTGAAGAGCTGCACCTACCCCCTTGTTTTTATCCAGTAAAATATCATCAGTAAAATGGCAGTTTATTTTTTTATATATATAAATGCTGATTTTGGGCAGGGTTTGTGACTAAGTGGCTACTAAAAAAAAGTGGAAATACCCCATTTTGAATACCGTGGGTGTTGTTTACTTTTACAAATGGTATGCCATGATGGGGATAATTTTTATTCCTGGGCTGCAATACTGTCTCAAAAGCAACATAGGCCCAGCAAACCAATCTGGCAAATTTCAATGTGCAAACATTGAAAAGGGGAAAGCCGTACATTTGACCCCTGTAAGTTTTCAAAAACCCATAAAACCTGTACATTGGGGGTACTATTTCATGAGAAATTTATGTATACAAATATGTGTATTTTATTTCAGTAAAATCCAACACTATGATGACATTTAAAATGCCATGCAGAACTTGAAAAATTTCTTAATTTCTCATAACTTTGTAGATTTTATTCATATTAAATTATGTTTCATATATAAATGTTTGATATGATATGAAAGCCCTGTTTCTTCTGAACAAAATGATATATAATAAGTGTGGTTGCACTTAATATGAAAGAGGTTAATTATGGTTGAATCATATATAGCGCAATTTCCAGGTTTTGTTTACGTTTTGTTTTGATCACAACTTGTACAATTGGCTCCCTCCTTAAGGGGTTAATGTTGTATTCCTATTTGCCTAATATTTACCAGGTAAATGTCATTAATCATTTCCAGTAAAAATAAATAAATCATTTTTGCATATTAGGGTTATAAAATAGATTGTAGAAGGCATTTCAATTTGGTTAGAATTTCTTTAATAACTGAATGGCAGTACCGCTTGGCAGAGCAGTTGCATGGTTAATTCACTGATCAGCCACAACATTAAAACCACTTGCCTAATATCGTGTAAGTCCCCCTCGTGCAGCCAAAACAGCTATGATGTGGTATCTGGCACAAAGACATTAGCAGCAGATCCTTTAAGCCCTTCAAGTTGAGAGGTGGAGCCTCCATGGATCGGATTTGAACATCCCACAGATGCTCAACTGATTAATCTGGTGGCCAAGGCAACACCTTAAACTCTTTGTAATGCTCCTAAAATCAGTGGCGTCTCTAGGATTCATTTTTAGGGGGGGGCACATGGTGGGCCAGGGACAAAAGTAGGGGGGGCATTTAACCCCGCCCTCGCCACAGTTTGACCCTGCCCCCACCGCATGTTAAGCCCCATCCCTGACACAATGTGTTTTTTTTTGTTTGTTTTTTAATAATCCCTGGCGGAGGAGTCATTATTTTCCACCAGGGATTATTAAAAAACAAACACATTTCCCTTGATACAGTGCCATAGTTGTCACTGTTTCCATATACACCAGGGGTAGTCAACTTGGTCCCTACCGCCCACTAGTGTGCGGTTTGGGATTTCAGGTGGGCGGTGGTGGGTTCTGCAGGAAACGCCCAGTGGGCTTTGATGGCCATGGACCAAGGCCGACAGGGGAGATTCTTTCATCTACCCTGCCGACCCATGCCCCCCTCCCTGGTAAAAGCTATGAAGAAGGGAGGGGAGACATTAAGATAGATTTTCACATCTCACCCACCTACACACAGCATAGACCCTATGCACCCGTCACATACACACAGACTGCCCCACACACACACACAGAACCTCTGACACACACACAGCACCCTTCTCACACACACACAGCACCCTTCTCACACATACACAGCACCCTTCTCAAACACACACAGCATCCTTCTCAGACACAACACCCTTCTCACACACAGCGCCCTTTTCAAACACAGCACCCTTCACACACACGCACACTGCACCCTTCACACACACGCACACTGCACCCTTCACACACACACACTGCACCCCCCCACCCACAGCACCCCTCACACACAGCACCCTTCTCACACACAGCACCCTTCACACACAGCCCCCTTCACACACACACACACACACACACACACACACACACACACTGCACCCTTCCCACAAACACAGCACGCCTCACACAGCACCCTTCACACACACTGCCCCCTCATACACACTGCACCTCACACAGACACACACACACACACACACTACACCATTCACACACAAACACACACAGCACCTCACAGACACACATAGAAAAAAAAGTAGAATCTAAAATAGAAAAAAAAGGAAATAAATTGATAAATGTAAGCACTTATATGAAATGTATGGACTTAGCAGTCTGTGTGTGTGTATGGACTTAGCAGTCTCTCTGTGTGTGTGTATGGACTCAGCAGTCTGTGTGTGTGTATGGACTTAGCAGTCTGTGTGTGTGTGTATGGACTCAGCAGTCTGTGTGTGTGTGTGTGTGTGTGTGTGTGGACTCAGCAGTCTGTGTGTGTGGCCTCAGCAGTGTGTGTGTGTGTGTGTGGACCATTGCTCCATAGTTTTGACGTTCATGTCCCCATTGAAGGCACTTTTGGTGGTGGACAGAGATCCCGCAGCCCCATACACAGTAAACTCTGTTGCACTGTGTGTTTTGACAACTTTCTGTCATGGCCAGCATTTTCAGAAATTTGAGCTCCAGTAGCTCTTCTGTGTGACTGGACGAGCATGGCTATCCTTCACTCCCCACGTGCATCAATGAAACTTGGTTGCCCGTGACCCTGACACTGGTTCACTGGTTGTCCTTCCTTGCACTATTTTTGGTATGTACTAACCACTGAAAACAGAAAACACTCCACAAGGCATGCCATTTTGGAGAAGCTCTGACACCAATCATCTAGCTATTATTATTTCACTCTTGTCAAAGTAACTCAGATCTTTTTGCTTGTCGATTTTTCCTGCTTCCAACACATTAAATTCAAGAACTGACTGTTCTTTTGATGCCTAATATATCTAACCTCAGTGACAGGTGCCATTGTAACAATATAATCAATATTATGCACTTCACCTGTCAATGGTTTGATTGTTGTGGCTGATCGGCGTGTGGGCCTAGATTTCTTCATAGGCACTAATAGTTTTGACATATTTTGTGAAGGTAAACAGGGCTTTTTTTGTTTTTTTTTTAAATGGCCCAATAGCTGGAGAGAATGGGTCATACGAAACACGTGATCTCACTTGAGTTATTTCCCATTGTGGTAGCTTTGGAAATACAGAATTCTGCAAATGGAAATATAGAGGTATGTGGGACACCTGCATCAGTTTCTTTCTAAACCTGCAGTGATGTAAGATAATGGTTAAGATACTTTAGTGCAACAGTAGATAAAAGTTTATTTTAGGATAAGGATCAGAGAAAACCAATCTATTTTCACTTATTGAAGTAATTGGTTAGGGTAGTGACCAATGTATGTTTTGACCTTTATGAAGTTCAGTTTATTCACATGGCTAGTAGTTTTTGCACCCTTACACCTAACTAAATTGGTATCTGAATCCACATTTTGCCATTCAAGGCTAGGAATCTGACTGCCATTCTCGGGTCTAGAAGGATTGTTTTCCTAGTTTGTTGCAAAATTGGAAGCGCTTCAAACTAGGTTTTTGCCTTCTTTTGGATCAACAGCAAAAACAAATGGGAGGAAGGCTGAACTTGATGGACGCATGTCTCTTTTCAGCTATTTAACTATTGTAGCAATAGTATGAATTGGGGGTCTCTGTTACATTCATTCAAAAACTGACGGGGAAGGTAGATTTATTAATACCTACACAAAAAAAAGGAGATAGTTACGTAAAATTGGGAGAATGGATTATTTTGTAACCTGGGCCATATCAAAATGAAAATTGCTCAATGAGAAATGAGTTTAGGCTCATATTTAAAGGGACACTATAGTCACCAGAACTACAGCTTATTGAATTTGTTCTGGTGTGTAGAATCATTATCCTTTTGCTGTAAACACTGTCTTTTCAGAGAAAATGCAGTGTTTACATTACTAGCCTAGTGATAACTTCACTGGCCACTCCTTAGATGGCTGTTAGAGATCCTTCCTGGGTCATGGCTGCCTAAAATGCATCCAAACATTCTGTATCTCATCCCTCTGCATGCAGACACTGAACTTTCCTCATAGAGATTCACTGATTCAATTCATCTCTATGAGGAGATGCTGATTGGCAAGGGCTGTGTTTGAATTGTGCTGGTTCTGCCCCTGATCTGCCTCTTTGTCAGTCTCAGCCAATCCTATGGGGAAGCACTGTGATTGGATCAGGCTACCACTTCTGATGATGTCAACAGACTGCTTGTTTTTTTTTAGGCAAACAGCATGCAGATCTACAGCTTCTGGCTTGAATACAGTAAGATGTTGCTATATTTATGGAGGCATGAGGAGCCCAGAGGGGGCTAGATGGTGGTTTAAACAATAGAGGGTCAGGAATACATGTTTGTGTTTCTGACCCTGTAGTGATCCTTTAAGAAATGATTAGGAACAGGAATATTTTTCATTATGCTCTTTTAAAATGTCCAGAGGTCTTTCAGATATAATACAAATTAAGTTACGGCGCACAAATAAAAATACCCTAATAAACTTATCAGGCTACTTAATTTGCCTATCTAAGAAAACGTATATGGGGTTCAGTTCCACCATATCGCCATATTGTGTTAAGCCCACCACTACTTTACAGTACCCCAATATCGGTGGGTCCTACACTGAATCCAAATGTGGGAGACAAATTAAATACTGCTAAATAAGCTAAAGTGTTTCAAGTTAATCTATTGTAAGAACATTGTAAGTATACAAAATGAATGTGATAACAGCAATTAAAAAAAGTGTCAAAACTAAACAATTAACCTCTTAACGCCGTTACGGCGTTCTATGCCGTCCAGCATTAAAAGGGCTTTAAAGCCGTTGCGGCTGCATAGAATGCCGTAACGACTTGCAGCCCCTGGAGGTCCGGTGTACTAACCTCCGCCGCAATCCTCTTCTGGAGGGCTGCCTGACAGCCCAGGCAGCCCTCCCCCGGCAAATGAGGCCACCAGGGGCCATGTGATCATCCTCAAAGAGCAATCACATGGCCCCCTATAAAAAAAAAATATTATTAGACATGTTTAAAATTAATTAAAAGTATTTTTATATATATATATATATATATATATTAGATGTATATCTATTATATATATATAATATCTATACATATTATATATATGTAACGTCATACAAAGTGTATTAATATTCATAGAATATTAGTATTAAAATACACTTAGAATGACGTTACATATATATATATATACGTATAATTACAATAATAAATAAATAAAATAATAAATAAATAAAATATTGAAACAAAATTTAATATAAATTATATCTTCATATGTAATTTCATTCTAACTGTATTTTGTTATTAATATATATATATATATATATATATGTAACAATATACACTTAGAATTACATTATATATATATATATATATATAAAATACAAATAACCGCAAATATATATATATATATATATAAATACATATAATTACATAAAAGATTACATTAGTATACACGTAGAATTTAAATACCTATAAATGCATATATATTAAAATTCTACGTGTATATTTAAGTAATCTTTTAACATAATTATGTGATTTGATTAATAAAAATTTGATTGACATGCCTGACAACACAGGGAGAAAGTGCAGATAATTTAATTCGCAAGCACTATATTTGACCCTGCAACTCTCCAAGACACCATAAAACCTGTACATAGGGGGTACTGTTTTACTCGGGAGACTTCACTGAACTCAAATATTAGTGTTTCAAAATGATAAATTGTATTACAATGATGATATTTTAAGTAAAAGTGGCGTTTTTTGCATTTTTTACAAACGAACGTCACTTTTATGGACTATATTGTTGTAATATGTTTTACTGTTTTACTGTTTTAAAACACTAATATTTGTGTTTATTGAAGCCTCCCGAGAATAACAGTACCCCCCCATGTACAGGTTTTATAGTGTTTTGGAAAGTTAGAGAGTCACATATAAGGCTTGCATTTCATTTTTTTACATTGAAATTTGCCAGATTGGCTATGTTGCCTTTGAGAGCGTATGGTAGCCCAGGAATGAGAATTACCCCCATGATGGCATACCATTTCCAAAAGTAGACAACCCAAGGTATTGCAAGTGGGGTATATCCAGTCTTTCTTAGTAGCCACTTAGTCACAAACACTGGCCAAATATTAGTTTTTTGCTTTTTTCCCCCCAAAAACAAATATGAATGCTAACTTTGGCCAGTGTTTGTGACTAAGTGGTTACTAAAAAAGACTAATCATACCCCACTTTCAATACCTTGGGTTGTCTACTTTTTCAAATGGTATGCCATTATGGGGGTAATTCTCATTCCTGGGCTACCACACCGTCTCAAAGGTAACCTTACTAATATGGAAAATTTCAATTTGAAAAAGGAACGTTCTATATTTGACCCTGTAACTTTCCAAAACACCATAAAACCTGTTAATTGGGGGTACTGTTGTACTCGTGAGACATCGCTGATTACAAATATGTGTTTTTTTTGCAGTAAAACCTAACAGTATTATGCCATTAACAGCTAAAATGTCAGACGGAAATACAAATTTTAAAAAAAAATCTTATTTTCTCACATTTTTTTAAATTTTATTCATAATAAATTATGTTCCATATATGAATAGTTAATGATAAATTAAAGCCCTGTTTCTCCTGAACAAAATGATATATAATAAGTGTGGGTGCACTTAATGCGACAGCGGTGAATTACGGTTGAACAGACATGTAGCGCAAATTCCAGTTTTTGTTTTTACGTTTTGTTTTGATCAGAACGTGTACTATTGACTCCGTCCTGAAGGGGTTAAAGTGTTTGTACTTAGATGAATATACTCACAATGCAAATCAATATGTGCTAAATGAAGATTATAATAAAAGTGACATCGCTTTAGAAAAAAAATAACTCCTCATATATATACACCTGTGGTCACCTCCAAAGAGGCCTCTGAAGCTCGAGGTCTTTCAGAAACTGAGATGAGAGTCTGATTGTTTTTAAAAATAAAGGGCAAAAAAATTTTTAAACCTGTCTTGTTGACATTTAATTTCCTTTTCTTGGAAAGAAATATTTATTAAATATATGGATAAATTAAAAATATAAAAAATCCTGGAAAGTAACAGTTGCCCTTTAAGGAAAGATGGAGAAGGGTGTAGCAAATCCAAGCAGCTTACTCTAACTCACAAAATAACGCACATTTTTACAAAATATCTCAACTAAGGAATATGCCTAATAGGTAAGATAAAGTAGTACATTCAGATCTTCTATGGATTCGACTTCTTAAACCCTAGAGAACTAGAAATTCACATTGTGGCTATTTTCCTCAAATTGAAATTAGGCTACTTGGGAGGTATCTAAAGACTGTGGTGTCATACAGTGGTGTATTCTGGTTTTGTGCTGCCCTAGGCACCTATGTGTGTGTCAGTGTGCTCATATCTCTGTATTTGTGTTTGTGTATGTCAGTGTGTGTATGTGTCAAAGAGTTAGTGAGTGTGTATGTGTCAGTGTCTATATGCATCTGTGTGTGAGTGTGTATGTGTCAGTGTGTGTATGTGTCTGTGTCTGAGTGTGTATGCGTCTGAGTGTGTATGTGTCTGTATCTGAGTTTTTATGTGTCTGTGTGTGAGTGTTTATATGTCAGTGTGTGCATGTTTCTGTGTATCTATCTGAGTGTGCATGTGTCTGAGTGTGTATGTATCAGTGTGTGTATGTGTCTGTGTACATGTTTCATGTCTGTATATGTCTGTGTCTAAATGTGTATGTCTCAGTGTGTGAGTATGTATGAGTCAGTGTGTGTATCTGAGTGTGTATTTGTCAGTGAGTGTATATATGTAGGTATCTGTGTCTGTGTATGTCAGTGTGTGAATGTGTCAGTTTGTGTATCTAAATATGTATGTGTCAATGTGTATGTGTATCTTTATATGCATGTATGTATTTGGCAATGTATGTATATATGCATAGATCCCAGGAATCAAACGTCAACATTACATGCAAACACACCCCTATATTAAAATGCCAAAATGATGTATTAACACCCCTTACTTAATTCATACACCCCACTACACACAAAAGTGCACCTGCATTTAAAAGCTAATACTACATAAAAACATACTGCTGTATTCAAATGCAAACATTAAATAAGTAAACGCTAATTTCAAAGTGTGCATCCTGCCGGATGCATTTGGTCTCGGTTTTCTTTGAATCCTCCCCAATCCTATGCTTTGTATTGGATTTAGATGTGAAAGCACCGATTTTACTCTGAGCACTAAATGCATTTGGGCGATTGCTGCAGATTGCTGGAGGAGACCATATTCTGACTGTATTTGGCTTTAGTAAGCATGAGAATTGCCACTGTGGTCAGAATTCTGTCATATTAGTGAATAACCCAGAGAAGCTGAACAATGTGCTTAATTGTATTATTATAATTTGTATAGTGTCAAACTGTTACACAACACTTTACAATGATTACTGAGAGAAGCGCTGTAAACATAATTGTATTCCTGTTGGTTTTTATCTAGTAAGTTGTTTGGGTACCAATTGCACACAGTAAATAAAGACATTTATATTTAGCAATTACCTTATTTCTCTATTTTTGCTATATACACACAAATGGCTGAATAACTTTAGTTAAAAAAAATCACGATTTCTACTTGATAATATATATGTTCTAATGTGTGTTAAACATGTCGTGAACTGAAAATAAAATAACCTCTCTAGCTGTTTTCATAGTCAGTGTAGATCTTGCGTACACAATTATCATATACTTTATTTCAACAGACACAATCAAATGCATGGGGCTACAGTCTCCACATAAACCGGGCAGCATCTTTACCATCAAATTATTACATGTTAATACAAACACACTACGCAGAAAATAAATAGTCACTAGGACTTCAAATATAATATAACTACCTCTAGTAGCGATATTTGCTTTTGATGACTCTGATAGGATAAATGTGACCCATTCCATGTAAGTAAATGTATAAAGTAATAAAGATTTGTCAGAAGAAAGATTTAAAATTATTTCATCTTTTACCTTTCATGTTTTGTCTTTTTAACGAGTTTGTGGGAGAGACATCTCTACTCTTAGTATGTGCATCTGTCTAGAGGTATTCTTAAATTTTTTATGAAGTCTAGTGTCTGTGTTAGTGAGATTTCAATTGGCTGGTATATGGCTTGGTCCACCGAGAATAAGATTTACACTTCAACAGTTTTTTATCTG